CAAAATCTCTGAGGAATGCTTCCAGCACCTTGTTGAATCTATGCCATGAAGAATTGAGGCAGTTCTGAAGGCAAAAGGGGGTCCAACCCGTTACTTTAATCTGGGCGTTTATTTTTTTTTCTCTGTTGTGAAAATTCTTTTTTATAATGAAATGAATAAATGAATAAAAAAATGCTTCATTTTATAATCCCATGTGGTTACAGATTAAAATGTGTAAAGTCATCGCTACTGTGGTTATTTATTAAGTGACTTATTAGTTAAAGCTCCCAGGGAGAGATTATCATCAACAATTTTAATCAAAGTCTTTTATAATTTCAAAGCACTAATTAGAACAGACAACAGTTGAAAGGTTCTGCTCACCTGTCACTACATGTCTGTCTCTTTCAGTGTGTGTGTGTGTGTGTGTCTGTGTGTGTGTCTCACCTGTCACATCGCAGACCCCCAAAACCTTCTTTACACCAGCATGACCCCGCTGGCTGACCTGTCAATCAAACACACTTTAAAAACACCAAGTACAAAAAATAAAAGGAGGCGACACTTTTAAATAGCTCCACTTGCATAAAAATAAAACACATAAAGGTGATAAATTATCTATATATAAACAGGTCGTCTCACTCAGAGGTATTTTCTTTAAAAGCAGACGTTCTGTATGTGGTGTAACTGAGCTTCAATAAATCAAACCTCAAAGGAAATTAACAAGAAGCAAAGTTAAAAGTTAAATTATTTATATTTCAAGGTGAAATGTAAAAAGGGTAAGCCTGACAGATGAGGAGAACTGAAACGTTTTGCCTACTTGGCGTAGCTTGGTTTGGATCTGCCACGCAGGATTGGCTGATAGAACCATGGGGGTCACACGAGCATTGGACGCAAGCGTTGTTGTCTTCTGCTCTCACCTGGACAGGTGAAGGAGACAAACACTGGTTTAAGCAGAGCATTGATTGTAACGTTAAAAACACCTGCACATGTGTCATACCTCTGCAGGTCTGTAGTAACCAGGAACACAACTCTGACAGTTGATTCCAGCTGTGTTGTCACGGCAGCCAATACAGACTCCGCCCCCTTTGTACTGACCGTGAGCGTCCAGACTGAGGGACAAATCAGCTACAGTCTGATTGAAGTAGCACTCCTCTGCCTTGCCGTGGCAGTTACACTCTGAAAGCACAGACACACAAATGGAACAATGGCGGGTTTAAACAGAAACTGTGGGTTTGGGCTCCAGGATGTGTCGTCTGTGCCCCAGTAACAGTTCAGAAACTCCCCGGTGTATTTACAAAGACACTGTAAGTAATCTGAGCATACAGTTTTAAAAAAGTCAACTTCCTACAAACAATTTAAACATTAAAGTGCTCGTGACTTAAAGTTTTCTAATAATTATGAATGCGTTTTGCAAAAGATAACATTTAAACAAAATTTAATGATGCTGAAATGAAAGTTGTTGCAATATTCACATGTGAAGTAACAGGAAGTGATGTCACAGGGGAACGTCTGCATGTAAACAAAGCATTATGGCTAACAACACAGATTATAGAGAAGAATCTGATGTTTCTTTAGATTATTTTGTATATCAGAGATGAAGAGTCAGAGTTCAAATAATGTTTCAATAAACAAAAACCAGAGTTCCCCTTTTATGTCACTTCCTGTTTCATTTCATCTGAGCCTAATTCAAAAGAAAATATGCCAGTCACGTGGCAAAATGGGTAAAATTATGTGTCTTACGCCAAGTTTATCAAATAAAAATATGTTTTGTATTTAAAAGATATGCATGTCAGGCACTTTAAAAACAGCCAAATAATTTGCCTCCAAAAAGGAGGAAATTTGTGTGTTTATGTCTTATTTAAAGTTCCAATACAAAACTTAAACTTGAGCTTTTCTTTAAATGATGAAGCTGCATATTTGGGTCAAAGTGATATTTTACTTTAACTCTGGTGAGCCTAATAGAAGAGCTTTTGATTACGGTGAAGCCTGCAAAATTGCATTTTACAGTTTGTGGACTTTCCCGTATTTTTTTATGGAACCTAACTGAAGAAATTTATAGTTATTAGAGGTTAGTACTGATGTTAAAAGCACAACACTATATTTTTAGGTTTTCCTTTTTATAATGTTGACAATGTTTAATCTATTATGTTTTGATTGATATTGATTAGTTACATGTCCGAATTATAACAACACATAATCAAACGTTGTGAGGACATTAGATGAGAATTTTGTCTGAATGCCTGTGATTCAGCCGTATGCCAGTAGGGGGCGAACGCAGGCATTGAAGAACACGTATAAATTAATGAACTTCCTGGTTTTTCGCCAGTGTGGCTTCCTGTCAGCTCCGGTGACAATAAACCCCACTCGGTTCCAGAATTCTGGTGTTGTATGGTTTGATTCCTTCTACAAATTATTTTTTTAACAATGGTGGTTTTAATATCGACTTCAGTTTATTGAATACGAATTTTTCGAATTTTTCTTACGTAACTACTAATAGCACCAGTGATATTGTTGAAACCGGAAATACATAAGGAAGGTCAATTTAAATTTTCTTGTGCTTTTTAGTGAGTTTAAGCAAACTATTAAGAACAATATACTTTACTAATTTCATAGCATAAAAATTAAGGTAAAATAAAAGTAGATTACGTGTCGGGTGCACACGTTACTGCTTAGCTCTCGTGTGTTTCTGTTTGGTTCTTATTGCATTAAGATGCCTGCCCAAACACACTGTAGGCCTTTCCTGGACCGTATCCAATACTTGTTTTTTTACGATTCACAGGTACTAAAAGAACGGAACCACAGCGGAAAACGGGATCTCACTGTATAAGGAAAAATAATCTTTGTGGAGGTTTTAATCTGAATATTTTTCCCATCAATTGTTCGGTTCCACAGAACACGGTGAATCAACCAAGGCTGGTTCTTTTAAAAACTGTTTGAGGACCTTCTTTCACACGAGTCGTGTTGAGTCAATGTCATGACATCAGAAGTGGTTATCAGGCCTCATTGACTACAGAGTCTTTCAGGAGGTGTAGCCTGTGTGAAATAAAATGAAAATTACACGTTGTAACCGGAGTTTTATGACAACAGTCTCTAAACTCGTTCCTCTGCTACACAGTCGATCAAGGTTAACAAATGCAAAGGTGACTTTTGATGGCTTAATACAAGAAAGACCGACTCCCGCTGGCTGGAAGGAATGTAAATGTCAGATCACTGGTGAACTGTTTTATAGAATATAGTTGTAGGGAGGCTGGTTTCTAGAAACACAAGCAACTGAAGCACCATAAAAAGTCTGAAAAACTAGTTTCCAAACAAAAAAACGAGTCGAGGCTGAAATATAAGATTAAGTTAAAAGCATAATATTCAGATTCATCTCTTACTTTCGCAGATGTGTCGAGTGAGGAAGGTTCCTGCCATCCAGGGCTGCTGGTTGTAACCTGGGCAGCAGTGATCACAGCTCTCCCCACATGTGTTGTGTTCACATTCACAGTTAAACTTCTGCAGGAACACAAGAAAGCACACAGATAGAGTCGGGCCGGCCTCACAGATGGGCTGTATCAGTTAAACAGATGTGTCCAAGTTTCCTTTAATGAATCATCAGACTGGAGGCTGATGTTGGTGCGAGTTCTACACATGGTAACAATCTGTGAACAGATTAGGATCATAATCTAACTACTAAACAACAGACCTTACATTGACTATAAATTATATTAAACAGATATAAGCCTTGATTCATAAACTTCCTAGTTTCTCAGTTTACAGAGTAAAACATATTTTCGGAACAAACATTTTTAATTCAAGTTTGATCGTCTTGATGCCCAAAGTGGTCACCAAGTCAGGATGCTTTGTTTTTAGTAGTGATGTAATGTTCCACATCTACCTTCATTTCTAAACAGAAGACAACTAACTGCCACCAAAACCAATATTTCTCATTTTTCTGACAATAAATCCTGAATGTACACTATTTGGCAAAATCATAACGTGTGCAATTAATCATGAGTTAAACCTTTGCAACTATCACCAACAGGCATGTGAGCCCAATGGCAGAAGGCAACGCAGAGTAACTAATGCTAACCCCTATATGGGATAAATCTTGTGTCAGCAGGAATTGAATTTGAATTGCTTAGATTTAATCTAAATGTGCAGAATTTGAAATAAAATTCATTGGTTTGAAACGGAATTTAATGATTTGAAACTGAATTTAAAGTTTTGAATTAATTTGCTTTGAAACTGTATTTTGGTTTATTAAAAATCCAGTTTGACTACTTTCACTTTCAGTTCCATAATTCAGATTTTTGTGTCACATCCTGGTCCTTGAGAAAGCCAGGCAGAGTAATCAAACACAGATAAACAGATTTATGTTTCACTTTGGTGAAGTTTCTCTTCTGGATGTAACAGAGTTGATGCAATCCACTGTAAAAGTGACAAAAACACACAAAGTTATTTTATTGCAGTGATTATATGTAGAAAACGTTACATTTACATCACATCATGGATCAGTCAGCAGCAGCATTTGATCAATATGTGATCCATGATGTGATGTAAATGTAACATTTTCTACATATAGGTCAAATTAATCACTGCAATAAAATAACTTTGTTTTTGTCACTTTTACAGTGGATTGCATCAASTCTGTTACATCCAGAAGGGAAACTTCAAAGTGAAACATAAATCTGTGGATCTGTGTTTGATTACTCTGCCTGGCTTTCTCAAGGACCAGGATGTGACACAAAAATCTGAATTATGGAACTGAAAGTGAAAGTAGTCAAACTGAATTTTTAATAAACCAAAATACAGTTTCAATTTAGTAAAATTTATTTTCAAACCAATGCATTCAATTTCAAATTATGCATTCAGATTCAATCTGAGCAATTTAAATTCAGTACCTGTTGGCACAAGATTTATCCCATACCCCTAACCCTATAATCACCTGAAACATCAAATGGAGAATAAGGAAAGCTAGAAAACGTGGATGGAGGCCACAGTGTTGGCTACATGCAAGTAAAGTTGTCATCTATTAATCGTTATTGGCTAAATCCCACCATTATTTGTGTTTTCGCCCAAACTTAATGTACACATGCACATCTGTTATACCTCTGTAGTTATCAAAAATACAACTCTTTAAACTCTGATGGTATTTGTCCAAAGTTAATGAGAACTCAGAGGTCATCGTGTTTGGTGCCACAAATTATTTTAAGTCTATCATACTGAGGTTGCTAAATGTTTTAACCTTAATCTCGATACTCAAACATGTTTTTTAGTCATTTTTCTTAGTCAAGCTCTTTCATTGACTTACTTAAAGAACTAGTTTTACATAAACGTATCTTTTTCTGCCTCGTCTCATTTAATGCACATGATGCTCCTCTGTTACCTCCAGCTGGTTCAAAACATTTCCTTTAGACTCATAACCAAAACTAAAAGGTATAAAACCATAACTAATGTGATAGTTAACCTACATTGACTCCTTGTTAGATACTATATTGATTTAAAATTTCCCTGCCTATCTTTAAAGCCTTAAATTGGCCTTAAACATGGCATTTACTTTCCAGACAATTAAGATCTATAGACAACTTCCTGCTAACTTTCCCCAGGTCACAGACTGACAAACTGAGAATGAAGCTTCTTCAGTACATCCAATTTTATGAAACTGTGGTGAAATTTATATTTAACTTAAAAAAAAAAAACACAACCCTAAAGCTTTACCCTGTATGTAAGCTTTGATATTTAGCAAGATTCATTACCAAAGCAAATAATTATATTATGACTATATACTTTTGTAAACCATTTTCTATGTAAAGTGTTAAACAACTCTAATTATTATTTACATTTTTAAAATGAATGTTTATGCACACAAAAGACAGAATAAGAGGTGTCTTGATGTTTGATTTTTATTTACAAGTAATAAATCCAACTGATGTCATTGATCAGGTGAGAATGAGAGTTTTGTATTTTAAAACAGCCACAAATTAAAAATAAAATGCAACACTAAACAGCTCATCACTAACATGAATAACCAGTTTAAAGTCTTTAAAACAACAATGCTTTCACTGGAGCTTAAAAGAAAAGAAAAATAGCTCTCCAGATTGTCAGTCAGTAGCAAATTGCTTCGACTATTATTCTCCCAGGAGAGAAATAAATTCATAAGTAAAGATGTGCAGTCAAAGCAGGACGGAACAGCGTGTTGGCCAACTCTAATGCTTCCTAATTCAATTGAGGAGTTCCTGTAAATTGGGTTATGTGCTAAGGGTGTTAGATTTAACTGAGAACAGTGCAGCACAATAACAAGGCAGGAGCCAAGCGTGGATTTGTTGGCTCCGGTGAATTCTCCCCCGAGACACCACGACAGCTCCGGCTTTGGGTTTTGCTGAGCGTTGCATCTGGGCAAAACGTTCTGAAGACGTTCATCAACGAAATGATCACACAGCCTAGCTGCTTTCCTGAACAGCTGCCCAGAACTTCAGTGCAGAATTACTTTGAACTTGTGTCAAAGTAAATGAGGCTGTTGTTATGTGATCGCTACAAAATTGCAAGTAAAGTACAACGTAGTTGTAAATGTGTCACTCGGGCTTGTCGAAGTATTTTAATCACCACATACTACGCTGGAGTCACTACCATCTGTATTAAAGTTGTACATGACTTCATCTCTCCATCCCTTCAGCTTGTCCAAAACTCGGCAGCAAGACTCCTAACTCGAACCTCCAAATTCACCCACATCTCCCCGATCCTAGCAGAACTTCACTGGCTTCCGGTCCAATTCAGAATCTGGTTCAAAATCCTGGTCCTCACTTTCAGAGCTCTTCATGGCCAAGCACCTGAATACATTAAAAGTCTCATTTCCCCTTACAACCCCAGACGAGACCTCCGCTCACAAGATCAAAATCTCCTTATGGTTCCCCTCACTCGCTTTAAGAACCGTGGTGACCGTGCCTTCTCCTCTGTGGCCTCCAGGCTCTGGAATGAACTCCCTGTTAAACGCAGTGTGTAGGATTTTGTTAATTCTTTTAGCCGAAATTGAGATAATCGCTAATGACAATAAAAAACATGTCTAATCATTGCAGATAAAGACCTTGTTTTATTATTTTTACCTTATAAAAAGCTGTTTATATCTCCATGGTCGTGGGTCCCCACTACAGGCAGCCGCCATCTTGCACCGCCATCTTGTCTACAAAGGCTCACGAAGGACAAACTGCAGTGGCAGCGTCAAAAACGGTTTTAGTTGTAATACTATAAATGTAATATTTGTTGTCTGTCATTGTAGCTGGGATAATTTTACTTATTAARGCTCATAATCTTACCACTTGAAACATCACTAGCCCTGAAGCTGCTGGTAGACATCGCGGTTGGAATTATCAAAGGTTTTTGACACCTGAGAGACACCGTAGCAACKCCTTTGTGTTTGGAAGTGGGGGGTGGGGGTGGGGGGAGGACCAGGGAGAATGATTCAACCACTCAACCACTAGATGTCACTGAAAACAACAAATCCTACACGCTGTGCCTTTAATCTGATAACATTGTATCTTTCAAGACACTCCTAAAAACGTACTTTTTCACTCAAGCATTTAGCTAATCAGTTCACCATTACTGCCAGCCTACCTCCATTGTGAATCCTCACAAATCTGTCTTTTCTTTACTATTGAACTTACGCCATATTTTTCTCTCTCGCATTCATTATGTTTTTGTGTATTATTACTGTATTTTTCGGACTATAAGCCGCGACTTTTTTCCTGAACTTTAAACCGTGCGGCTTACAGACCGGTGCGGCTTATACATGGATTTTTTTCTTCAGCCACCAGGGGGCTCTTATGCTCCATTTGCTTCAACCACTCGCTTCAAAAAATGAAAGGAAAAAAGAAAAAAGCGATCGCTTCCAGAGCCAACTGTTGACAGGAAGCAGAGATTTAAAGATAGTCAATGGCCAAAAACTCATAAATGGGGATAAAACAGACATTTTTCACGGTGGAATCTGACTGATAAAAACTTTGGAGCTTAATCCAGGACCAGTTTGTGGATAAACGTCGAGTGAAGAGCCGCGGACGTTTTTTTTCCTCATTGCACTCCCTGGGGAAGGAATCCCATGCAGTGATGTACGCTGGAGCGGGAGGGCTTTCCCACCACAGCTTCAGAGCCAGCATTACCCCGAGAGGACAACAGATACCGCTGTGTGACGCAGCTTTTCTCAGCTTGTTTAACTCCGACACTGAAGAGGAGGAAGGACTTCGATGGTTTCAGTGCGCCGGAGGACGATGAATGAGACGTTTTGTTGGACCAGAAACTGTTAAAGAAAACTACCAAAATAAGGTCAGTTAAAAGAACCGTATTCCTCTGAACTTTAATTCCTAAAGGTTTGCTTTTTATGTTTTGATGTTGAATTCACTTTTTTGACGGCAAATTTGGATGTACTGTTTTTTTTTATGTTGTGGGTGCGGCTTATTGTCCAAAAAATATGGTATATGTTTTTGAACTGCATTGACCTTGTGTTTGATTTAAAATTTTACAAATTAATTTCTTGATTTGATGTTTCAATTTTTCGTTGCTTATGTGTCATTATGTTTTTCTGTTTCATTTTATTCTTTCCACCATTTTTATACTGTTAATGATTGTACAGCTCCTTGTGAATATATTTCTGTGAAAGGCACTTTTTAAATAAAACTTTACTTGCTTACTTACTAATCTCTCAGTACTTCATATGCTTTTTACAGGAAGATAGATACTTCTTTAATATAACCTTTCAGGATGGGAGCAGGAGACAAAAACGTAAGAAACCTGAGCTCCTCACTTATTGTCACTGACATCATCTCTGAGGGACGAGACACCGATGTCACATCTGAGCTACACCATGTATTTAAGCCTCAGGACATCCAATAACACGGGATTGGGTGTGTGTGTGTGTGTGTGTGTGTGTGTGTGTGTGGTCAGAAAAAAGGAGCGAAAGATCAGATGTCTGGTATCAAACACACCTCTGTTTGAAGTGACACGAGAGACAACCTTTCTCTGTGTCACCTGTGTCCCTGAAGGCAGCCAGACACTCGGAAAGTTTGATATGAAGTTGAGGATAAAAAGAAGAAAAAAGAAAAAAAGAACCCTCTGGCTTGTCTTTGCTCTCGTTTAGTGCCATGAAAGAGCTTTCTTTGCCGGTATTGTTAGCTGTGCTTGAAAAGAGAGTGGGGATTTTTACCTTTGTTGCAGTGTTGAGTGGACAGGCTTTGGCGTGGCCATAACAGATGCACATCCCTCCAACTGAGATGTCTTTAATGGAATAATAGTACTGATGGAAGAGAGGAAGAGGAAACAAAATAGGTTTCAGAATGACAATGTTAGCAACCAATGTAGAATGTATTCTGACAGAGATGTTGCTCTTTTCACAGTGGAATAAAGGGTAATAATGCAAAGTCTTATAATAATCATTTCAACCAAACTCTCCAGGAAAAAACAAAATAAAACGTTGCGTTTTGACGCTCACCCTTCGTGTCACAATGGGATCAATATCTTTGGGGTCGCTGAGGGTCAGAGTCATGAGGTCGGCGTTCAGTGTTCGTATACGCTGGAGCACCAACCTGATGTAGCGGGCAGAGGTGAAGTGGAGCAGGGTTGGGGAGGGGTCCTCTGCACTGGGCCGACCATTGATCAGAGACGTGTGGATCTATAGTCAGAGAAACAGAGACCAGTAACAACACGCAACCCAGGCCGGCATTTCATATAAATATGTTTGTTTGCAACAAAAGACCAGAGAATAATGATAAATGGAGAGTTTTCATCTTTCACTGACCACGTTCCTCTAGTTATATGTAAATAACTTTAGCACAAAAAGTACGGAAATTTATGTTTATTTCTATGCTGTAACAATGTTTCTTGTCAATAAAGCGTATAATGTTGGAAAGCCTGTTGCTTTATCTTTTAAACGGTGTCACATTTGTAAGGAACGTCTGTGGGATGAGCAGTAGAGCTGAGTATGTGGATCTGCCAAACAGCGTAAACAGCTTTTAAATCCTTCTTTTTCACGTTTTAATCATTCATTGGGGTCTATATAAAGTGGAACTGCAACGCTTTGGTCTGATTTCCTCCTTATTGAAACTCCACAAGCCCTGCCCATTTTCTGAGCTGTGTCTCAGATCAACTCGTTTTGAGTCTGTCTCTTTAACAAAGGAGGCACTTAATGCTTCACCCGCTCACAGTTTAATTCAGAGATGTGAACATATGACTTGTCCATCCAGACTTACAGGTTGGAGCCAGAGTCTGACCCAGAACCAGTGTTGTATAAAGTACCACAAAGTGATACTTAAGTAAAAGTACAAGTATCTTATCATAAAAATACTTTGGTAAAAGTTAAAGTCTTCTCTAAAATTATTGCTTGAGTAAAAGTCTTAAAGTATCTGATATTTTTTGTACTTAAGAATCAAAAGTAAATTTCTGACA